CACCCGACTTGAGAAGGATGTTCTTCACGGACCGCATCCGCACCGAGCCAGCAGCGAGAAGGGCGAACCCGGCCTGCATGATGAAAACAAGAGAGCCGCAGAAGAGGAGGAAGAACGTGTCGGTCTGAGAGCGAGGGGCGGTGGTTATCGTCAAGAGATGCAAGGTGCCTCTCGAGAGTGTGGGAAGCAAGACCGCGCACCTCCGCTCGCGCCTCACGGCGTGCACTCTCCACGGCGTGCACCTCGGCGCGAAGCGCCTCGATGGCCTCGGCGAAGGAGCCGGTCGGGCTTTTCCCCATTCTTATCACGCAATCGTTCTCGACTCAACGAAACCAAGTTCCGAATCAACAGTTTTTTCTTTTTTCAAAGAACCGTGAACCTAGTGCCTCCCGTGTTGTGCAGCCTGACTTTACCCACTGTGCACAGTCGCCATAGCACCACCACCGCCTGGCATCGTGTCACGGCGAGCTCCTTCTGCGCCCGCCCGCTCGCGCGCGAGGCTCTCGCGCTGGCACACTTTGGCCATCTGCTGCTCGCGTTCGGCGAGCTCATCTCCGCACTCCTGCCACGGTGCCATCACCACACACCTTCTGGCTGGCCGGCCTGAGCCGCGCGGGGTCGCCGGCGGGGGCAACGTGTCGACCTCTCTCGCTGGTGCACCACGCTCCACGGGCGGCGACGGCCTGCTAGCAGCTGGCGCGAGCAGGCAGTGTGCCGGCACAGTCGAGCCGGAGCCTCGGGTTCTTGATGCTTCTGGGTCAAGTCTGACCTTATGCGGCCTAAAATATGCAATGTAATGCTATGGCCTATGCTCTCACCCAGCCTTTTGAGATATGAATCCCTCAAAGTCGAATTTTCGTTTACTGGTGACCATAGTACCGCCTGCGGCCTGGACTTGTTTGCGTTTCTTCCGACGAATACTTTAAAGTCTCGACAATCACTAAGCTGCTTATGGGGCACCGCAGAGGCTCCCTTTGGGAGGCCTGACTGAGGCTGCCACCCCAACCACTCCCCAAGCCGTACGTAGACGAATTGGGCGGTACTTTTTCCGTTTACCTACATTATGCGAGTATGGACTTAGAGCACTTGGATGCAGTCGGTAGCCTCAGAAAGAAAGAAAGAAAACAGACAAAAGGGAGGGATGGGAGGACGGCACGCCGCCACCACACAGGGATTTGAAACAAAGGAGTGTGGTGCTAGCCGTCGCCCACCCGAACCCTTGGGTCGGTCGACGGCGTTTTTCTTGCGACTGCGGCGCCAGTGTGGCTGGCTGTATACTCGAGCAGCGGGAGCTCGATGATACCATTGTGGACCGCCGTCGTCTCGCTCGCGCCACGCCCGGCCGGCGCTGCTGCCCCGCCGCTTTCTTCGTCCTTTCCCTTCCGCAGTACTCCGCCAGCGCTCGCTGCCAAGGCCGGGCGCAAACAGCGACGACCCGCCAGGCAAAGGCCGGGCGGCGGCGAGGCCACGCGTGGTTCAAGGAAACAATGGCGCCCGAGAGAGAAGCCCGCGTCTTTCGCCGGCCAGCTGCAGCGCGCGCGGTCGACCGACGCGGCACTCGTGCTCCTCTCCGACGCGGCCATCTCGTCGAGCGAG